AATGAGATAACAAAATGTAGATTAGATATGATATTTTTGTATTGAGTATGAATTGACTTTTCCTTTTCTTTTTGTACAAAATCAGTTAATACATTTCCTATTCCATACATATTCTTGTAGTAAGGTAGAACGAGATATATTTTTTGGTTTGGGACTGGGGTACAAAAAGGGACCGTATTATATTTACGTAAAAATAGACTAGAAATAGACTATCTAATAATTGACATGTCCCATCGTACTGACTTAGATTTTTGCCAAGTTTTAGTCAATCGACAAAATCGATATAATCTTCAAAAACCTTGCAAAGAAAGATTTAAGAATTGTTGAGCTGATAATGGGCTTGGTCAACACTTCCTCTCGCTTTAACACTATTTTTTACAAGGCAATTTGTCTGTATCCAAAGTCTCGTCAGGTTCTATTTCCTCGTCGAAGTTTGATGATCTCCGATATTCGTCGACTAGACAGGTCAGCAGCCATGTAACCTTGTGGTGTAGCTCGGCCCAGCAGGAATAATTTGCGTTGGGTACCGGTTGTCGAGTAATATAATTGATTCCTTCCATTAGTGCATGCTCTACGATAAAATAGAATTCATACATAAATTTCAAACTTGAAGATCTACATATTGTATGAAAGTAAGGTACACTTTCATTAAACTTAAACGTTTTATCAAACTAGGGAGGCAAGGTAGCCTAACCCTTTCTGAAAAAGGTAATCGATTCATTAAAAGATACTGTCTCAAATTACCATTCTGCATGATTTATCGTAACGTTACTTGGATGATTCAATGCTGATTATTATAAATTTCATGACTCAAATGAGATACTCGCACGTCAGTTTTTAAATGTTGAATAAATAATATTGCTAAACATTTTCGTGACGAAGGAGGATATCCTTGACCTACATATCTTTTTTTGGTTTTTGCTTATAGACATTTGCCGCGAGTTCAGAGGTAGTCCCTTGAGAGTACATAGTTACTTGATGCGCTCTTCGACATTCATGCCAGCCTTCATACGTTCCAAAAGGGGTAAAACCGTGTAGATATAGTTAAGGGCTGACCCACACTTACCCCCTGAGAAGTAGGGTTTCGTAGTCGTATTGCAAAAATTTTCTTGAGTTTCTGTGATATTGCTTCAATATCTGTGTGAGGATCTGTCCAAACTAAATCAGCTTCCCTAGAAGTCTTCTTTAATCGCTTGGCTTGCGCATGACATTACATCGCATACCATGCTTTTGCTCCTGCATCCAAATATTGGAAAAACGCAATTTAACTGCTTCGGCCCAGCCATAAGAAATTGCCAATAATTCATATCGTGGGAGAAATTCCTTACTACATAGATTACTATCGAACTGGACTCTAAGTTGTGCAAACGGTGGGAAATAATGTGTAGGATTGGACATGGTGAATGGTTCTGAAATAGCGGTACGGGAGTTAGGTTTCGTTAGAAGACAGGCTAAATTTAAACAAGTATTTGGTATTAAAAAGAATCAAAAGATTTGAAGGGAAAATATTTAATTTATGTATGGAAACGTTGTTTTAGCTGGTTTATTTGTTGGTAGATGCCTCCACAGTTATACGTAGTACAACACACCATATTATGCAAATATGCGTTAATCGTTACCCCGCAATCCGAATTAGCTTGTATTAAAAAATTAAATTTCCTTCAATCAATTGTTTTGCTACTAAAATTGATGGCAATTTAAAAATTTAAAACTTAAATTTAAAACAAGTAGCAATTCTGTTAATCCAGTGGGAAAATATTTCCCACTGGAGGTAAAATAGCAGTAGTATTAAAGCTTCTTGTGCTGTTTGGGGCTCATAAAACTAGAAAAAATAATTTATTCATGTTCGGGGATTAATTTGTCGAACATTCGCATTTGACGACTACGCTATGAGATCCATAAGTGGCTCTTGATCTTAACGTAATTTAATGTTAATATGATGCTTGCCCTATATTTTGGTTCACAACAAATGCTCTCGGGTAATCAAATCTAATGCTGCGGACGAAATTCCAATAATTCTGTCTATAATTGTCTCACGTTTTTGGTTGTTAGTGGGCAAACTTTTCCACCTAAATAGTTCAATGGGCTTCTTATTAAATACGACGAAAATGCAATTTTGTTTAAAATGTATTTCTGCAGAATTGCGGATATAATTATCTTGGTTAGAACAAACTACAAACTACTATTAGTGGAATTTTTGCCTCCACTCGGTGACCATGATTGAGGTGAAATCTATGGGAGTGGCGGGGTTATGGCAGTTCTTCCCCTTTATTTGCTGGAATTGCCTCTTCCTCCGGTCAAATCGAAGAGAAGTAAACATGAGGTTTAGGAATTGACACTGTGATTAGTCCTAAAATGTGGGTTCGGACTGAGTGAGTTCTGGTAAATGTAGGTTCAATTTTGCGAATAGGTTGAGCAATGTCCATTATCTTCAGCTTTATTTGATGTAATTCCCGGTTGTAAGTTATCATGGAGTGTTGACTGGATCCGTTTGTCGGCAGAATTATCAGTTCCCTGTCAGGGATTATGATTGTTTCCACGTCGAGTCATAAAATTATTTTCATGAATAGAACAATTGTGGGAAGGTACCTTCGCAAATGTCATGAATAAATTTGTCAAATTTATTAGGCGACTATGACGATAGATTTGCTTGTTATGTTGGTCACGTGCACTTATGTATGCAAACTACTGTAAAGTATACGGTAGAGCAAGGAAATAGGTTTGTTTTTATGTCTAAAAATCCGTAACTTTATTGACTTTGTGTGCATTTGTTAATAAGGTTTTTATGAAATGCATGGACTATTTTTAACTCAAAGTTCCTGATCAATTTAATATTCTAGATATTACTCAATTAACTTAGCAAAATGCTCCCTGTTTTCGTGAAACACTGCGGGTAACTGGTGCATAAAAGCTTGCTTTGTTTCTCATCTTTACATAAATAAACTCCACCTCCAATTTCATACATAGATAATTATAATTAAAAGTAGATTATGTTTAAGGTTACAAAACTGGATAAGGGCATTAAATTAACTGGTATTTGGTATTTACCACGTATTTATTATGCGGACTAAGTAATGGTTATCTAAATACCTCCAAGTACATAATTGATAATTATAATTATAATTAAAAGTAGATTATTATTATTAAGTTCAAGAAAATTGCATAAAATTGACTAGTATTTAATATTTATTTGTTATTTAGTATGCGGACTAATTGTAAGTTAACGGTTATCTCATACATTATTTATGTATGCAATTAAATATTTTAGCTAATTAGAGTTACATAAATTAATAACTATGTGTGTACATACATACATACATCTAAATATTTATTTTATACTCTGTAAATATATCACACAGTCGCACATGTAGGCTCGAATTAGTAAATAAATAAACCGTTGCAAACGAAATGTAGCAAAGGGGTGAAAACACACGGAATTGTCTTTGTGGCACGCCACAACGTCTTTCTGCACTTTCCCGTCATTGTCTCACAGCACCCCACATCTCGTTTTGACTCATTTCGACACCCCACCCGCGTACTTCAGAGGTCGACGGCGCCGATCTCACGCCGCCGCGCCGCCATACGCCGATGCATTTTACGCGCCGCCGCCGCCGAAAAATTTGATTTCCTATTCCTTTAACATTGCCACGCCGCGCCGCGGCGACGACGCCGCCGAAAAATCACCAAAAACTGGCGCCGCCGCCGCAGAAAACTTGTCGGCGTCGACCTCTGGCGTACTTTTAGCGTACACAACCATACCTTTCAATAGACACCCCACATGACAAAAGTCACTTTTTCGACATTCGACACCTCCCACACGGTCATGGGGTCATCTCACGTCGAAATGGTGGCGATTTCTGAAATCCCCGTCCAAAAATGCGTCTAGAACGGTAGAAACAAAAAATTCGGCACGTTTGACCGTTGACGTCATCACCGTGGCGCCGGGACCTTACGACCTACAACATTCATCTTCGAACCCATCCCGTCCCCAAAAATTAGAAACACGTTGGCGAACACCGGATGTCGAAATTCGAATCCGTTCTAAAGTTATCGTGGATACGGACAGAGAGACGGACGGACGGACAAGACATTTCCATAAAGGGGTTTTCACCCTTTAATAAATGGAATGGATTACATAATACGGGTTAACAATTCATTGTTGGGACGTTGGTTAAAGGACTTCTGTATCGTTTTTTTTATGTATATTTATGGAAGATTGGCATCAGAGCGGATAGGTCAATTATTTACATACATATGTAGTCCGTATTAATGCTTCCAGTTGCTTTACGTCAGAATTGAAAAATAAATCAGCACATTATTTTTCTAATTTATTCATGTACCTACACAGGAATGTTTGATCCATGACAATGGAGGTCTCCCAACGTATGCTCACAGATTTTTGACCAAGTTGGTGTGAATGGATCACAAACTAAATTAGTATGAAATTTGCAAATTTGCAGGTTTGGCGGAGATATTTGCATCCAAAGTGGGAAAAATTCGCAACAAATTTGGAAAATGAAAAACTTGCCAGGCTTGGGGTGTGTTTTCTCCTTTTTTATGCAAATATATCAGCCAAACCTGCGCATTGGCAGATTGTGCCATTTGCAAATTTCATACTAATTATATTTATGATCGATTGACACCAATTGTGTCCAAAAACTGTGAGCATACGTTGGGAGACCTCCATTGTAAATTGGCAGGGACTAAAGTGCATATTTACACATGCACTTTTTTGCATATTACATATTAACACAATGCGTGCATACATACATATTTTAGCATGACTGTGAAAACCGGATTAAAATAAACCTTCCCCCCTGCAATGCGATTTTTAGGTAACTTGAGCATCTCCAAGACCTGATGTACATACATACACACATATGTTAAATTCGAGTATTTAAAAATGAAACGTGGGGATGGGGGAGAGATAAAAATAGAACGGGAAAAAAGATGTCGAAACGAATCTTTTCGTGTGGTTTGGAACAGTCGTACATTGATTTTTGGACTCATTTTTAGTCAGTTAGTTCGGGTCCTAAGTAGAATTTCAAAATATTTTAAGTCTTGATCCATCTTTGCAACTTTTATTTTATTGTGTTGGGGGGGGGTTCAAAAAAATTCATTTCCTACCAAAGTGTGGAACCAATAATTTTCTTTCAACGGGAGAAAGTAAGTTGTTATTAAATTAATAAGTGTATTTATAGCGTGAGCAAGAATCGTGCCTGAAATTGACCCCGTGATTATTACTTAGGGTACGGACGAAATATAAATTTCATGCACAAAAGCTCTAATATAATGAATTTAATTATTTACACAAAGAGACAAATTAAAGTTATATGAGACGGTGGGTGTGTATTTAATTACACATTTTTAATTTGATTATGAATTTTGTGCGTGTGTTCCCTAACTCAAAGGCTACACAAATTTCCAAATATTTTTAACCATTTAGCCTACTCACGTCAAACTTCGCATATCTCACAAATTGAGCATGGCAACATAACTTGCAAAGTTTTCCGAGATATGCGAGATTTCGCAAAAATTTGCTGGGAAACCATGGGAATTAATTCGCAAATTTACTCAGCAATTGGACACGTTCCAATTTCACAAAATTATGTCGTAAACCCATCCACATTTACGCCAGCAAGAGAAATTAAAGAAATCCATGAAAAAAATACCAAAATATGTGGTTTTCAATAGATTTGCGAGATTAGAGAGATTTGCGAAGTCATATTTTGCGAATCCCCTCGCGACAGGGACATTTTCATCTTCGCAAATTTGTTAAATGAGTTGCGATGCGAAATAAGAAGTTGTCAAGAGTACGCCAATTGATTCCTTCATCTTTCTTGGTTTTCAGACACGTAAATATTTTAAACATTTCGTTGCTATTTGAAAACATGTGTACATGTTTTCGTACATATTTTGTAAATATGAAACTCATATTTTGGCGATTTTTCGCAAATATTTACAAATCCACCCTCTTGTGATAATTGGAGTACTCACGTTGAAGTATTTTTTCCAAAGAATAAGTTATTAAGCTGTTAAACAAAACATTCTAATTGGCAAAGATATATGTAATCCTGAACAAAAATCCCATAGCTTATTTCAAAAATGTTTTTAATTACATCATGATTTTGCAAAATTTGCAATCAGCGTTGTGAATACTAAAATTTGAAGCGTAATAATTCATAGCAAAATTTAGCGGATTTTTAATATTTATGTCATTTTCTAGTGGTCAAGAATGAAAGTGGTGGGGAAGACTAGATCAAGAAAAAAGTCAAGTGTGGCATCAGAATTTAAAAAAACAAGAACAAAAGGTTGCAAAATGTATATGCAAATCCTCGGACAATGGAAATTACGTTGTCTATAATCCATGCGTTTATTGACTACTTTTATTTCGCGTACGTAGAACCAGCTTATCACCTTGTGTCAACGGGCAGGCCGAAAATGCAAAGCAAATGCAGAGACTTATTTATGAGGAATTCATGCGACTCTTGTGGGTATGAAGACTTTCAAAAAGATCTTTGTGATTAATTAAATAAATATTTCTGGAATTTCATTATTCTTAAAAATGTCTATTCTTAGATTGGAAAGATATGAACATGGACCAGCGGGCAGTTACTTTTTCGCTGCAGGATAAGACTTCCTTCTTCTTCACTTTAGGACAAGAATTACGCCATCGCCGCAGGACAAGAATTACATCTTCAGATAAGATTATAAGTACATTTACATGTGCTCATATTTAAGCATTTAGGGATATTCAAAAAATCGATTTTTTAGGGAAAAGGTTACCAGGGGGCTGTATTCCTTGCACACAATTTCCCCAAAAGGGGAATGTGAGATTCTTTTCTGTTCATTATGCCACTCAGGCATGTCATTGACCGTTTTACATAGCAATTTACCGCACTGTTGATGTCGGAAGCGAACGCTCTTTTTGCGTGATAAACAGGGAAACCCGAAAACCGAACAATTTAAACAAGGCTTTCTGTGTATTGCTGCAAAATGAAGGTTAGATTGACGTCGGGTAGGAAAGTGATGGGAATGTGCGCAATATGGTCACAAAGCATTTTGCAATGCTCATTTCACCTTATTAGTTTTTCGCCAAATGTAAATACATATTACAAAATTATTCATATGTAAATCTTGTGCGATAAATAATGACAATTTGATCATTACAAATTTGTATTTTGTAATATGATCTCAAAATACGAATTGGAGGAAATGGTGATCTGATAAAGATCTGCTAGAAGGGCTGACCTCGTGTACCCCTTCACACCCTCACCAAGACACATGCATCTCGATGATGGTGCTCCAGCGAGGGCAGCCTCCTCATCTTCCCAAAACGGTATAAAAATTAAAGATGAGTGAGTTCCGTCCAATCGGCTAGGCAAGAAATGCGAGACTATCGACTCTGATTCCATCGGGTCGATTTTTCAGAACCAAGCGTATAACTTTTTCGGAGTGCATGTACAAATGTTTAAGTGATGGGTTTTTTAATGTGGGAGGATGAGTTCTACTCCAGAACCCATGAGGATCCTGATCACGTATCCCGTCCGGTACGGTTTGACGAGGATTACCGTGAAGCGAGGCATACAAAGCACACAAAGGGTTGGTAGGACCAATATATGGTAAAATGTGGAAATGTTTTTGCTCCAAACTTTCCCTTTTGAAAATGTTGGTATCAAAGCTTATGCCTATTTTCGTGCGTATATGTATGTACATGTACATATGTAACACAAATAGATAGGCATGCGCATCATAGCCCATAAAACGATATATAAATTTGTAAGTAAGAAAGCAGCAGTACTAATTTCTTCGAATTTACATACAAAACATTTTCTCGTGCATGCATATTAATACTTGAACATATGAACGTTGGAGAAGTATGGGTTTCTACGTAATTCTCGGACTGCGTACGTATTAAGCGATTTTAAATTTTGAAACTGTTTTGTCTTTCTGTTAGATCTTAATGCTAGGATTATGATTTTCCGTAGAGAAAGGAAAACTAAATAGTTTTACGATATTACATGACATATTCGCGATTAGGTTTTTCTTTTGTGAGGATAGAGTGGAAATAATGCCAATTGTAATGGCAGAATTTGATTTTACAAATTGATTTTTTAATGCGGAAGGGTAAAAGGGGGAGGATGACTTTCGGTCCACCATTTTTTGTTGCGGTTGACGGGGTTTTTCATCCTTCCACACATTTTCACTTGAAACTTGGTAAATATGACAGATTTTGCCTCTCGGATTGACGAACGTTCTCAGTTTCTGCACAATTACGCTTTATTTCGATTGATCTCGAAAGCTTGCAAAACTCATTTAAAAAAAATTACCTTGCTAATATAAGGCCAATTTAACCAGTGTCAATATTTGGTTGAGTGACTCGATACGAGTTTCCAGGAGTTCCAGGAAAGGGATGAGGAACTGGGAAATGCTGCATGTGCAACCCTGCCTATAAAAATGAATGTTTGAATTATTTGTATTTTAATTCAAATTAAATCTCTTTCTACTGTTCTTCCATGATTGCTCTGTTGAAAAGTTAAAAATGTGAAAGTTTCCGAGGTGTATGGACTTATGGGAGGGAACTTTTTAATTTAGTGAAATTCAGTTAGGCCGAAATTTATGTGAAGACTATTCCCCCCTGGAAACACTGTTGGCGAGTCACCATCTTGTGTTACGGGGCAAGACCCTCATTAAATAAAGGTTTTGTTATAATTTAAAATGATAATGGTAAATTAGATTGAAGGTTGAAGGATGGTAAATTAGACTGAAGGTTGAAGGATGTGGGGGCAGTATGAAGACTACCACCCTTCCGATTAGCTGTATTAATTATAGTGCATGCTTGTATCTGGCCAAGGGTGGTCATAGATAATTCGTCATTCAATAAATGAAGACGGAAACTAGTTGCGTTTATATTGACTTGTGTCAACTCGTAAACATGTACTTAAACATTGCTAACAATGGGATGACGCCAGCTGTCTCGCTCCGATTTTGATGAAACTTAGATAATTATGTAGCCTTAGATAAATAATTGAACACGTGTTTCGGGATTTTTCATAATGCTCAGTTTAAACAAAGTTTTGATGATAAAAGTCGCCAAAAATTCGCATTTTTCCTGCGAAATTTTTCTCTTTTTTGTTTTTGAGGGAGAAAAATGCGATTTTTCGGTCAGTTTTACCATCAAAACTTTGTTTAAACTGAGCATTATGAAAAATCCCGAAACATGTCTTCAAATATTTATCTATGTAAGGCTATATAATTATCTAAGTTTCATCAAAATCGGAGCGAGAAAGCTGGCGTCATCGCATTGTAAGTAGATAAGTAAATAAATCGTTTTCGAAAATTATTGCTGCTAAGAAAACTTTAATAGCCACTGGTCGCTCTCGATATTCCAGCTCACTGAAGGCATACGCATTTTAATATTTGGTGAATTTTTCGAGCAACCTCTTGCCCCTATTGCGGTACATCGAAGTCAACCGGACAGAATTTCTACGCGCCAAAATCACGTGCCCATTTGATTAACATTGGAGGCGGGCCGAAATTCAAATCAAATCCATCCGGTTGACTTCGATGCACCATAATACTTGTGATAAAAAGTTGGACTAGAGTTGATTTACTGGGATCTGGAAAAGCAGATGTCCGTTTAGTTACCAGTTGTGTAATCTGATAACCAAATATCTGGAATTAAAATCTAAATCAGTTATGTACATATGTTACGATAAACGTCGCAGTGGGAGTGGAATAATGGGTTCGAGATTCGGGATATTCTTATTCGTAATATTAATTTATTCCCACTCTGTTTTACTGACAACTTTTACTAACGAGAAATCGATAACTTACTTATCCTTACTTATTAACTTGGTCGTCTCTTCTCACTGATACGGTCATGTCCCGTGTCCGTCGGCGTAAGAATTAAATGAAATCTCAAAAGGTTTTGCATCTTGCATCTTTTTGGGATTTTTTAGGAAAATATCTTTCTTTAACTTACTGGACCTCTAGTTAAATTCGGAATTCTGCGCTCGTGGACTTATTCTAATCCATTTTATGTATAATGGGAATAGCTATACCTATCAAATCATAAAAAATATTTCAAACCTGGTTGCCTTAACCTTAGGCACAACAAGTGACTCGTACGTTTCCCCACTCTCAAATGCAGCCATTAAATTTTGATAAACTTTGCTCAAATTTAGAACTGCATTTAAATTTTAAATGTCTGCCAGCACATATGTATGCTTTTGGAGCATTTTTGAGGTGATGGTGTAAATATTTGACCTAATCAGCTTCATTCCATCTATAGGATAAAGTCAAAAGTTCCAAGAGTTCGGTAAAATATTTGGCCGAAGTTTTCCCGCCGTACGTAAAATTTAATTGTGCCGCTCCCGGGGAAATACATAAATAGGTGGTTGTTGGATACACGTGGTACATACAGTATAGGCAGAAAGTCATTATACCCTCATACTTTTAGTACATAAAGCCTCATCTTGTTCGATAAGCTTGAGGGGATGAACTGCAATTTCGCACAATTACTTATCATGATGCAAAGTTTTCGGAACCATGCTTTGGATAGCGTCGTGGTACAAGCAACGACACGGTGGAATTATATCCAAAATTCGAACAGGAAAAAAGTCTTTACACCCTCTGACTTTTTGGTACTTTCAGTGTAATTTTTAAAAACATCCCCTTAAATCGTTCTTCATCCACCAGGTGATGTATTATTCTTTGATAAATAACATTTTTGCAATGCTGAACTACTTGTCTGTTATCAATATTAGCTAATACTGACTCAAAAAGACCTTAGCCCCGTCCTGTGGCAAAAAATTGTTAATTTTGATGATAAAAGGCTTCGACGCCAAAGAATTTCCGATTAACTACCCATTATGAATACTACAGTTGCCAGAATAGTCTGGAACTGCAAAAAATTTGAGATGGTACAGAATTTAACAGCTTTTTTGTAGACATGGAGCACGCGCCCATGGACCGATCACGGCAACTTCTGCAAAAGCCAATGACTCCACGGTTACCTTCACCAAAAATCAACTTGGAAACGAGGGAAGAATATAATCTTCGAGTTTCTGTGCGAATTATAAAGAATCGGATCGCTTAAGATGGATTTGAATAGCGAGCAACATGGAGAAATCCATTTCACCGCAAGGCCTATATTGTAGACAGCTCTAAATGGGCTAAAAAACATGATGATTGGATGGCTAAACGTTCGAAACTCCTGATATTGTTCGGCGACATCAACATCAACTTGTTTGGTTCAAATTGGGACCACGGAATGTGGATTCAGCAAAGAGACGCTGACAAACCCAACGACCGTACCCTAACCATTAATTTGATTGGTAAAAACCCAATTGTTTGGGCGTCACGTAGTGGAAGGGCGTCATAAATTTTGATTCAACCGAAGTAATAATGTACAAAAACTATTACTGGGACATTTTGGGTTGGAATTTGATGGTGGCGAAAGGAAGCAACCGTTGGGGAATAATTATATTTTAAAATAGGAATGTGACCCTATGCACCTATCAAAATTATTGAGCATTTGGTTTAGTAAAAAGGAGATTTAATTGTTGAATTGCCTTCCATGATCATCGGATAGCATGCCAATAAACATTTATGGTCAATGGTGAAGCCCAAAATTTTTCAGCACACGCTATCAAACCTCAAAGTCTGGTCGACGCCATCAATCTTGAATTGGTGAATTTTGAATCCTCTTT